GTTTATAATTTTAAATAATTTAAAATGTAAATTTAAAAAAATAATTTAAATAATACCTGACTTTTAATGAATATAGTTTTTTTTAACTTTGAAAAGGCATTCAATTATGTGGATCATAATAATTTATGGACAACATTTCAAAGAATGGGAGTTCCAAAACACCTAACTGTGCTCATACAGAACCTGTGCATAGACCAAGAGGCATTCATTCAAATAGAACAAGAGGATACTGCTGCATGGATTAAAATCTGGAAAGGTGTTGCAGTATAGTAATTACTTAGTGTGGCTTTTCAAGCCATAAAGTCTTTGTAAACTCTGTGGTGGAATTTGCTGTGAGCAACTGAGAGCTCCTGATTGTAAAAGTTAATCCACCTGGGGTATTTCTGTTGGGCGCAATACAAAGCAATGTTCTGGGAGGTTCCTGTTCTCTCTCAGGTGCTTAGAATTCTGATGTTATGATTGGTTAGTTTGGCCACTCTGCCAAGCTCAAAAGGAGGCCTCCTAGAGGCAGAAGAGGTCTCTCTCTGACTGCTGGTTGAGGAAGACGTGCTGCTGAAAGAGACATGAGCTCCTGAAAGAGACACACATTGCTGAGGGTTACTCACTGTTGGGAGAGAGATTGTGAGAGACTGTTAGGAGAGAGACTGTGGGCTAGGAGAGAGACTGAGCATTTTTCCTGAACTTGAATTGTAGTCTGGTGCTTCCCTAATAAACCCCGTAATCTATGAGTTCTGTGTGGCCACTGCAGTGAATTATCCAACCCAGGAGAGAGGTGGTGGGTGCTTTGGGAGGAACAGTTGGTGAAAGGGCTGGAGGGAGGCAGCCTGTCTGGCCTTGCAGTAATAGGCCTTGGGTTACTGATAGTGATTCTGTCTTCCTCTTGTGGGGTTAGAGGAGGTCAGAACATGTGGCCACCTTGTTTTTTTTGCAGGTGTGCAGTATGGTTGCATCTTTTCACCATACTTATTATGTACACTGAGCAAATAATCCAAGAAGCTGGACTATATAAAGAAGAACATGGCATCAGGATTGAAGGAAGACTCATTAGCAACTTGTGATACGCAGATGACACAATCTTGCTTGCTAAAAGTGAAGAGGACTTAATTACTAATGAAGATAAAAACCCCAGCCTTCAGTACAGATTATACCTCAACAACAAACAAACATCCTAACAACTAGACCAACATCATCATAAATGGAGAAAACAATGAAGTTGTCAAAGATTTCATTTTACTTCGATCCTCAATCAATGCCCATGGAAGCAGCAGTAAAGAAATTAAACACTGCATTACATTGGGCAAATGTGCTATTAAAAAAACCTCTTTAAAGTTTTAAGAAGTAAAGGCGTCACTTTGAGTACTAAAGTCCACCTGACCCAAACCAAAAAAACGAAACCAAACTCATTGCTGTCGAGTCAATTCTGACTCAAAGTAACCCCTCCTTGGGTTTCTGAGGTGGTATCTCTATGGAAGTAGATTCCCCAGTCTTCCTTCCGAGGAGTGGCTGGTGGGTTTGAACTGCTAGCCTTCTAGTTAGCTGTCAAATGCCTTAGGCACTACACCACCAGAGCTCCCTCTGACCCAAGTCATGGCATTTCAATTACTTCATATGGATGCAAAAGCTGGACAATGAAAAAGAAAAGACTGAAGAAGAATTGATGCCTTTGAATTATAGTGTTGGCAAAGAAAAATGAATATACCATGGACTGCAATTAGAATGAACAAACCTGTCTTGGAAGAAGTAAAGCTGGAATGCTCTTTAGAAGCAAGGATGGTGAGCTTTCATCTCACATACTTTGGGACATGTTATCAGGAGGGACCAGTCCCTGAAGAGCGACATACTTGGTAAAGTAAAAGGTCAGTGAAAAAGAGGAAGACCCTCCTCAAGATGGGATTGGCACAGTGACTGCAATAATGAGCTCAAACATAGCAATGATAGTAAGGATGGAGCAGGATTGGGCAGTGTTTCACTCTGAGTTGGAAACGATTTGATGGCACCTAACAACACCAACCATATTTTCTAATATACATATGTATATATACATACATATATATACATACATACATTGTTGTTGTTGTTGTTATGTGCCATCGAGTCAAACCCGACTCATAGCGACCCCTCCTTGGGTTTCTGAGGTAGTATCACTACGGAAGTAGGATTGCCCAACCTTCCTTCCGAGAAGTGGCTGGTGGATTTGAACTGCCAGCCGTCTGGTTAGCAGGTAAGTGTCTTAGCCACTATGCTACCGGAGCTCCCACATACATACATATACATATATATGTATATATATGTATATATATGTATATATATGTATATGTATATGTATATGTATATGTATGTATATATGGGAGCTCTGGTAGCATTAGTGCCTAAGGCACTTGACTGCTAACCAGAAGACTGCGGTTCAAACCCACCAGCCACTCTTCGGAAGGAAGATGAGGCAATCTACTTCCATAGGGATACTGCCTCGGCAACCCAAGGAGGGGTCGCTATGAGTTGGGTCCAACTCGATGGCACATAACAACAACATATATATATATACATACATACATACACACACATACACACATACACACACACACCCAATTTAAAGAAAAAAAATCTATGTCATTCCTTCAAAGATCTACAAACTATGTTTTATGACTGGTTAATTTATCTAGCGTTTTTCTTGAATCAAGTAGCAAATTTTATTTCTGACAGGAAAAAAAGAAAATTATTTAGCCTAAAAATTATAAACAGCTGTAAAAATGGGAAACATTTTTAAACACAATACACAACATGAAATTTTCAGATTACAACAATTTCAAATTCCCAAGCTCCAGCTGAAAATATAAAATGATGAATATATTTTGATGAAGCTAATACAGAACTTAATATCTAAGAAATAAATTGAAAGAGCTCCCTGAAGTACAAGGTTTCAAACATTAGTAAGAACTACTAAGAAGTGATTGAGACATACTTACCTTTCTACACATTGTGAAAAGTATTTCTAAATGCTTTGAATTTGATAGTAAAGTATTTGTGTCTATTGTCACGTAATTATGCAAAAGAGGCATCATGTCTAGAAAAAGAAATTTAAAATCCCAATGAGAAATGAGTAACAGGAGTAGAGATAAGTTATCCCCACTGAAATCACACTTCTGTAGCGTCCACCATTGCTATTCCCTTGCAACCACAAAAATACTGGAAATAAAAGTGATAAATCACCCCCTTTATAGACAAGAAAGATGTGACTCAACAAGATTAAAATGTTCACCATTTATTGTAGTAATTACTCTATTTTCTCTTCTTCTCCATAGCACTCATCACCATCTGATACATAGGCAATCCCTGGGTTACAAGGGATGACTCCTATTTGTCCTTTAATGTTACATAAATTTGCCCTCACTTTGAAATGACTAAACTGACAACAAATTCTTCACCACAATCACCTTCATTTGCTGCACATGCAGCTTTCAAATCACTGAAAAAGCCTCAAGGCTTTTTCTTACACCAAAGCAAGGCTAAATTAAGAACCAAATGGATCTGTTCCAACTTACTCATAATTTCTTAAAGATACACGTAGGAGCAGATCTTGTTCGTACCCTAGGGACTGCCTGCACATGTATTTTCTTACTTCTTTGTCTGTTTCCCCACACTGATCCTCCCTCCACTAGAATGTAAGTTTCAAAAGCACATGACTGTTTATTTTGTTCACTGTTGTATTGCAGAGCTTAGACTAGCACTTGGAATAGAGTAACCAAAACCAAACCAAACTGGAATAGAGGAGGAGTTCAAAAAATATTTATTGAATTAATGTATAGATACATATGCTTTGGTTGCAAATTAATTTCAGATACATTAAGGAAAAAATGAAGACTAGCTTCTATTGCCTACATTCCTAGGGCTGAGAAACACTGCTACAATAGCCCCATCCTTGACTTGACAAAAGAGCTCTGGTGGCATAGCACCTAAGGAGTCTGACTGCTAACCAGAAGGTTGGAGGTTCAAACCCAACAGCAGCTCCACAGAAAGAAGGTGGGGCACATCTACTTCCCTAAAGATTTGCCGCCTCAGAAACCCAGTGGGGATTGCTATGAGTCAGAACTGATCGAAGGCATTGAGTTTTGTTTTTGGGTTTTTTACGTGACAAGGAAAGAAGGACAATGTTTTTCTAAATAGAACTGAAATAACATACATCTTTTTTTCAGGTTTCAAAGGAAATACTATCTAGACATACTAAGAAAAAATAGATTAAAACCATACCTGTAAAATATTCAAAACAATCCTGTTGAAAAACTTCATATAATATACCTAGAAGCTGCCACATTTGGGGGGAAATACTATGGCAGGTTAAACTATATGCCAGTGAAAGAATTTCTTCATAAAATTCTAGAAAGAAGAAAATCTCTAGTTAGAATGCTAGGAAATAGCATAACTTAAAGATTCCACAGAGGAAGATCCTAGCAGTAAGCTCATGCAGATATAAGCTCTTCCTATATCTAATGTGATTATAAATAGATTAATTTTTTTCACTAATATTAGAAATGCATGCTCAATTTTTGACTAAAGAAGTGTATAATAAAAAGTTGGAGGCAACTACTCTCAAGTAGTAACACTTATCCTGCATTGTTCTCTCTGCATATTATAGTGTGCATCTCCCTCACACCCACATGAATTAGGGATAGCATCTTCAAAATATTTTGATACTATGGAAAAGTAGCTTCCCATACAAATTTCAATAAGTGTGTAACATCTAGCATTAGTTACTGATTCTATTCAGAAATTAGGCACCATAATAGACAATTGGACAAATATGCTATCATTTCATATTTTATAATCCCAGATTAAAGAAACCTTATCTGAACTTGACACCAGTTCTTTATTTTTCAAAATGTGAGACTTTAAACTGTCCTTTAAAAATTCCACCAGCAGAAACTCTTAATTGGATACATTATGTTTATCCCTAAATGAAAACATAGATACTTAACATTAGAAAGCATTCTTAAAAATTGAAGAGCAACAATGTGGAACAAAACTCAAAATCATCTGGAGGAAAAAAAGGGGAGGACCAGGTTTGCTGGTCTGATAGAGCCTGGTGGAACCACTGAGACTATGGCCCCTAGCTGCCCTTCAGGTCTGGAATTGAACCCACACCTGTGGTTTCCAGCCAAACCAAAGACAGGCATATGAGTCGAACATTTACCAGAGGTAGATACACTCCTTGGAGAGAACAATCATTGAGAAAGAAGGGCTGCTTATGCACAGGGAGACAGCTCAGGGGGCAGGAGTGTATGGAGGGATGGACACTGGGAAGAGGTAACTATGGGGAGGAAGTGGGAGGGAAGCTGTTGCATTGTGGTAAACTGTGGTCAATGTCATGAGACAAAGTTTATGTAAACTGCTATATGGAAAGTGAATTTGCTCTGTAAATCTTCACCCAAATCACAATAATAAAAAATAAATAAAATTGAAGAGCACGCAGGTTTCTCGTTCTCTGAGTTGTCCATTCTGTTGACTCTGAAGAGTTAAAAAATGCATTGTATGTTTATTAATTTAAAAAAAAAAATCTCAATTTACCTTTTTACTCTACCTCTGAACTTACCAATTACGTGTTTATGTAAAACAAGATCAATGATCCTCAGACAGATATTCTCTAACTGCTGAGTAACCTAAAGACAAATTTAAAATTTTTAAAGTATCATGATAATTCTTAAATATTTAATTTAAAATATCATAATTCTAAAATTAACATACAAATTTAACATTATCCTAATTAAAATACCAGCAAGAATTTTTGGGGAGGCAAATTTCACAAGCTAATTCTAAAATTCATATGGAAAAATAAGCATGTAAGAATAACCAGGAAAAAGTAAATAAATAAGAAAGAATAACCAGGAAATTCTGAAAAGTAAACTAACGATGCAGTCAATGGTTAAATATGTAATAAAGTTAAAAATCAGTTCCTTACCTCACATTTTATACCAAAATAAATTCTTAATGGATCAAAATATTTCAATGTGAAGAATTAAATCAAAAAATAAAATAAATAAATAAAGAATTTTTATATAATATTGAAGAAGGAAAATGATTCGAGCCCAAAAATCAGAAATGAAAAATCTGATCCATTTTATTACAAAAATCAAAAATTTCTGCACAGGATCGGGAAAGTCAAAGATAAATGAAAAACTGAAGTGAAACATTTTCTACTGGTATTAAATTACCCTCACAGAAAATCAACAAATAAACAGAAAAATAGGCAAAGGTTATGAATAGTTACTTGGAGAAAAAGAAATACAAATTGACCTTAAGCTTATAGAAAGATGTTCACTCCCATGTCTAGAAGAGAAATACAAATCCAAAGTACAAGACTAACATTTGCACTATTTCACCCTGATTTGGGGAGTATAAATTGGTACATGCTATGAATAACATTAGAAAATATTAGTCCAAAAAAAGCAATAATTAAATGAACCATATAGCAACCCCTCCTTGGGTTTCCAAGGCGGTATATCACTACAGAAGTAGATTGCCCAACCTTCCTTCCCAGGAGTGGCTGGTGAGTTCAAACTGCCAGCCTTCTGGTTAGCAGTCAAATGCCTTAGGCATCATGCCACCAGAGCTCCATCCATTATACAGGACTGGTTAAATAAATCTGACACATCATACAAGAGAATATTATATAGCATTAAAAATATATAACTTTATTGATTGATATGGAAGGATCATCAAGATATATTAAATAAAAAATAGCAGATGGAAAAACTGTGTATAGTATGTTATTGTTTTTATAACAAAAAATGTACATTTAACTTTTTGCTAATATATTAATAGAAAAATCTCTGGACAAATAGATAAATCCTAGTAAAAGTGGCTGTCTCCTAAGAGGGGAATTAGATGTCTAGAAGCTCAGCAGCAAAGTAAAATTTCACTGACTACCTTTTCACACCTTTGAATTTTTCAAATTATGCTTGTATGATTTGCTTTGTAGTAAGTAAAAATTAAAATCCATCATGGGTTATATTTTTCATCTGATTATCCTATTTCAGCTTAAGGAACATATTATTTTATTTTCATTTTAAGCTTAAACTATTGTTTCAAATTTCAAGCAATCCAAAATTTTTCAGTTTTAAGGAATTTGTCAACATATTTAAAACTATTAAACAAAAATACATATTTTAAGCATCTATTTCAGACTTCCAGTTTTGCTTTTCATACATTAAGTATTTATACATGTACTACTCATACACATGTGGTTTTTCCTTTGAAAGAAAATTTGTTTTCCAGGTTTGCTTTACATAAGCCACGGTTCAAAATTATAGGATGGACAGGAGATCAAGTTTCCAGTTCTGGTTTTGGCTCTAATTTTAATCTATGAACTTGGTAAAGCCATTTACGGAAGACTAATGTTTCTTCATCTGTAAACAAGGAAGCTGAATGTTATTAGTGCTTCCCAAATTTCAACCCATGCCTCTCTTAGTAATCACAAGTTCATACGTTTAATTTTAATATGTGAAATTCAAAATAAATTTGGCATCATGAGAAAAAAATATCAAAAAGACAAAATGCTATTTTGTTTGTAAACTGATTGTGCTGCTCACGCTACCTCTACTAGTCCTCATCTATCCTCCCCCTTCCCCACTCCCCCTTGAACACACACACACATTTGGTAAAACTGGACTAGATGAGTTCTAAAGTTGCTTCAAATCTAAAATACAAATTCTACATAGAAAATGAAAAAACTGTTGTTAAGTATGCTCTCTGTAATTTAATTTGGAATATCTCACTGTTAGTCAAAGACCCATACAGTGTCAACAAGAACATAAAAATAATAAATACGGAAATAAAATCTCACATTAAGCCTTCTAAGTAAAGGAAGACCTGTCCAGGAGAAGAATGCTGAACCATTTTTAAGAATCTGGTAACTTTTTATTGGTATGTGATAAACAGATAAATCGACAACCACACTGTTTAGCAATGCTATTTAAAGAACTAGCATCTGCTTCCTAATCTTCCCCTATAAAACATGACTTGCCATCATTTCCAAGCAAATCAATTTGGACTCAGAAGCAATGAACACAAATGGGAGTTAAGGAGAAGCCATGTGATACTATCCTTAAAGTATGAGAGCAATTTTTTAAACCTTTGTTGTTATGTTGTTGTTATGTTCCATTGAGTCGGCCCCAAATCATAACGACCCCTCCTTGGGTTTCCGAATGGTATCACTACGGAAGTAGACTGCTCAACCTTCCTTCCGAGGAGTGGCTGGTGGGTTTGAACCACCAGCCTTCTGGTTAGTAGTCAAGTGCCTTAGGCACTATGCTACCAGAGCTCCCTTTTTAAACCTAACAACATAGATTTTAAAATTCATGCCTATTAATCATATAAATGTCACTTAATGCCACTATAATGACATAATAAAATGTAAATAAAGAAGTCCTACCTCTTTTTGATCTTCTACAACTGTCAAGATAGTATCAATGGTATGTAAAATTCCCATAGCCATTACTGTCTTATCTTCAACTTCTTCATATTCATCACTTTGAAGAACTTTACCAAATATTTCAGCCTATAAAAATAAAATTGAAATATTCAACAACTGGTATCATTATATCTTCCCACTATTATAAGTTAACAAGAACTTCCAGTCCTTTACAAAAAAAGGCAGTATCATACATCCAAGTGTCAGCATTGTTCAAACTACAAGTTCACTTTGTCTACTGAATCACATCTTTTCTTATAATGATAGAAACTCATGTTTTAAATATAACCATTTTTCCTTATCTAGTGACTAGAGTGGAAAAAATGCTACTGTTAGAACAAGACTACTAATTATTTAACTTCTAGTTGTCATTAAAGAAGTAAACTGAAAAACAGGAAAAATTAAATCAAGTGAAACTAAATTGAAAAATTCAATAGAAAGTTTATAAGATAAAGTCAAGGAATCAAACAGAAGATGAAATAAAAAGAATAGATATAAGAAAACAGAAGACAAAGGATCAGGAAATTGGACACTCAGTTCAGGTACAACATCAGTTCCAGAAATATAGAACAGAAAAATGGTAGGGAGAAATTTATCAAATAATATGTTGTCCAAAATCAGTTTCCAGAATGAAAACCCAGTAAAATTTTAGAAAAACCATATGAAGGCACATTATTATTAAATTTCAGAATATTATAGATGAAAGAGATGATCCTGAAAGTTTTCAAATAAAATAAAAATAATAATGGGTAACAAACAAAGGAAGAAGAAATCACAATATCATTAGACTTCAAAAACAACACTAGATGCTAGAAAGCAATGGAGTAATGCTTTCAAAATGCTGGGGGAAAAATTATTTCCAACAAAGAATTCTATACCCAGTAAAAGTATCATTGTGAGGATAGAGAATAAAATCATTTTTAGATATGCAAGTCTTCAAAAATACATGCCTTTCTTTTTTGAGAAGTTACTAAAAACATGTGCTTTCACAAAATAAAATAATAAACCAAGAAAAAGATGTAAGGTCCAGAAGAGAAAGGATCCAATGTGGGTTAGAAATAAAAAGCTCCAGGATGAGAGAGATGTAGAAGTCCTAGGAGACATGTCCAAGTTAAAGCAGAAGGATGGAGGTCTACAGGAGAGAGGACATCATGGGGAAAAAGAAACTGACATTTGAATATATAGAAAATATACTGATAGGCATATACTAAGGGTGTGAAATATTTGGAAAAATTTAAGTAAACAGACAGGTAAATGAAAATAAAAAGCCATTCATCAACGTTAAGAAACTAATATACAAAACAAGGATTATTATATTGAATTATTTCACTCAGCAGTAAATAATAATTACAATTTACATTATCAAAACAATGTAAAACACTGGATGCTGATTTAACCAAAATATGGCAATGAAATTGAGGAAAAGGAAGAAGAAGGATGTGAAGAAAAAGTACATGGTATGGAAGAAGTAAGTCCTCACCTACCCCAGAGGGCAATCAATAAATAACAAATCAGAAATTGAATTTTTAAACATTAGAATTTATTTCAAAAGACATAGGTAAGGGGAAATCTAGGTCAACTGGCATATATAGTTCATAAAGATAATGTTCTACATGATTTAATGATGAGTGCCACCTGGGGTCTTAAAAGCTTGTAAGTGGCCATCTAAGATATAAATATTTGTCTCTTCCCATCTGGAGCAAAGGAGAATGAAGGAAACCAAAGACTCAAAGAAGCAATTAGTCCAAAGGACTAATGTCCCACATGAACCACAGCATCCTCTAGCCTGAGAGCAGAAGAACTAGGTGGTGCCAGGCTACTACTACCAACAGCTCTGACCAGGGACACAAAAGGAGATTCCAGCTAGAATGGAAGAAAAATGTAAAACAAAACTCAAAAATTCATTAAAAACAAGACCAGACTTATTATATAATAAGACTGATAGAGACTATAAGAACCCCCAAGACTATCACCCTAAAACACCCTTTTAACCTGGAACTGAAGCCACTCCCAGAGATTATCTTTCAACCAAGTATATTGGCCTACAAAATAAATAATACCCATGAGAAGTACAGTCCCTTGAACAATAAATTAAACAAGATCAAATGGGCAGCATTAGCTCAAAAGCAGAGATGAGAAGGCAAGGAGGGGCAGGAAAACTGGAGGAATGGAAACAGGGAAGGCAGAGTGAAAATGGGGAGAGTGCTGACAATTGCAGGGATAGCAACCAATGTCACAGAACAATCTGTATATAAATTTTTGAATGAGGAACTAATCTGCTATGTAAACTAAAGCACAGTAAAATGTTCAAAACAAAAGATATGAGTAAATATCAGGGTTAAAAAAACTACAAAAGTTGAGAATAAGTGTCTTTTAGAAAGCATAACTTTGGAATGAAGAGGGACTAGAGCCAAAGAATGTTTTTTATAATAAGCTTTTTCAAATTACCTACATGTATTACTCTGAAAAATTAACTTTAAAAATCAAAATAAATGTTGGAAGGAAAGGAGTGGGAAAATGAAATAAGATTTTACTTATCTACATTTTTTTTGACAAGCAGTCCCGAATCATTAACCACTAGCATATGAGTCAGAATCAGGTCATTACGATGAGGACTCCAGGTGGTGGAAACGGTTTGCCTCAACTACTAAATAACAGTTCTGGCAATTCAAACCCGTCCAGAAGCACTCCAGAAGAAAAGGCCTGGTAATCTGCTTCCAAAAGATTACAGCCAAGAAAACCCTACAGAGCAATAATACTCTATAACACATGGGATCACCATGAGTTGGAATCGACTTGATGGCAATGGGTTTTGTTTGTTTTGGTTTTATCTACCACAAGATAAGGCTTTTAAATATATTTAAATTTAACAGTAGTACTCACCAAAAACCAAATTCACTGCCACTGAGTCATTTCCAACTCACAGTGATCCCTCCTTGGGTTTCCAAGGTGGTTATCTCTATAGAAGTAGACTACCCAACCTTCCTTCCGAGGAGTGCCTGGTGGGTTTGAACCACCAGCTTTCTGATTAGTAGTCAAATGCCTTAGGCACTATGCTACAAGACAGTAATACTAGACTCTTTTAAAAGTAATTTATGAAGCCCCTAAAATTTATGAAACCCCTAAAAATTACTAGTACTTATGTGATGGCTCTAGAGTCATGACCTTACTCAACAGTCAAAATAAGAAAATATCAGGAAATAAATATCTCTCACTATTAGAAAAAAATAATCATCACTATAATGAATTTAGGATATTATTCCAACTGGACTTACATACTGTAAGATTATTATTTTATATGTAAGTATAATTATAGGAATGTCAGAATTATTAGAGCAAACATTAATTTTTATATTAACATTTCAGTTACATATAAAACTGAACACTAAATTTTAGAATTTATTTAGATTACTTAAGGCTTTTATACCAAACTAACATAAAACTTTGCCCATTCTTACCAAGTGTTGTGTCATATCAACAGCAATTGAGGCCACCTCTTGACTGTATTCACATATCATCTTCTGGATAACATTAGTAACATCATCATTTTCTGTCTCTCTAACAATGTGCAGCAGCTCCTGCATGATAGATCTCACATGTGGCTTCATATATTCCTTAGCTAATGCAACAAAAGAAAATTGGTAAAAATTAGCCATTCCTATAAATAGGAGCTCTGGTAGCATAGTGGCTAAAGCACTTGCCTGCTAACCAGAAGGCTGGCAGTTCAAACCCACCAGCCACTCCTCGGAAGGAAGGTTGGGCAATCCTACTTCCGTAGTGATACTGCCTCGGAAACCCAAGGAGGGGTCGCTATGAGTCGGGGCTGACTCAACGGCACATAACAACAACAACAACAACATATGATTAAAAGAATTTGGTCACAAGGTAAGGTGGCACAAGGAAATATTTAGATACGGTTTTAGATACATATTTGCTTTGTGGTGACTAAGTTAGAAAGCCATACCAAAATAACATTCACCAATGTATTAAGTTTCCCAAGCATAACACAGGGCTAGGCAGTCCTACACAGGAAACAACTGTCCACCCAAAATACCAATAGCTTCTATTAAGAAATTCTAACTATATAATGCTGTCATCTGCATGATTTGTACAACATGAATGACATCAAGACCTAAGTATAAACTATCACTCACATAAAGACTATCCCAGGCCATTCTGATCAGGCCCACAATAGATGGATCCTGATAGAACAGAGAAAGATGTGCCACAGAACTCAAATTCTTTAAGAGTCCAGACTTACTTAATCAAGTGAGGCTAGAAGATTCCCAGAGACTCCTGCCCTGAGATACTTTTTAAATCTTAAATCAAAATTATACCTTGAAGTCACCTTTTAACTAAATAACAGACTGGCTCATAAAATGAAGAATAGCACTCATGAGTAATAAGCTCCTTTAAAAAATCACTTATATGAGACCAAACAGTCAAAAATTACTGTAAAGCAAAGTTAGACAGTAAGGGGACAAGGAAACTAGAGTACTAGAAATGGTACAACCAGAGCAAAATGGATGAGAATAACACATTCCGACAAATGTAACCACTATCACTGAATAATCTGTATAGAAGTTGTTAAATGGAAACCTAACCTGCTGTATAAACTCCCACCTAAAACATAATAAAATATTATTAAAAAAAGAAAGCAAGCAGCTATTCCCACTACTGATGGAGCCCATTCTCTACCCACTCCACTGCTGGCATATCCTTATTCAAGATTCAACGTCCCTGATGAAATACTGTAGAATGCATTGTTCATGTTCTCATAAAACTGAATTTACTTATTTGACCTTTAAGCACAACACTCTTCTAGAAAAATGTGTGTGGTATCTCACTAGAAATACTACTTGCTACTTTGAGAATCTGCAGAATCATAGACTCCTAGAATTGAAAGGAATCTTGAAGCCATCTAATCCAACTCCTCAAAATTTGAAGATGCGGAAACCTAAGCCTACAGATCATATGCCTTGCTCAGGCTTACATGGCAAGTTAGTGGCAAAATTAAAACTAGGGCGCCAGGTCTCTAGTCTAGCCCAATGCCAACAGTATCTACTCATCTCTTAATCTAAAATCATTCTGGAGATCACAGCTCAGCCCAAAGAGACTCCTGAAAAGGATGAGAAAATGCCCTATGAAATTCTGAAGGGGCAAAAGGGGGAAAATTTTTTTTCTAAAAGGCATTTTTAGCTTTACCTTGTATCTGGTTAGAAATTAATGACTGAAGAGCAAGGGCAGCTTCTACTTTGACAGGCATCTCTTTATCTTCAATCAGGCTCTTTTTTGCTAGTTCAACTGCATTTCTTAGGTTGAGTTCATTATGAAACTTCAAAGAACTGAATGCATGAAGTACCCAACAGGACTGTATTAAAAGAAGAAAGGAGCTGTTAGAATTACGGTATGTAATAACAATGTCAGTAAACTCAGTAAATGATCACTAATGCTACCATATTTCTTTTGGGAAAGTGACATATTACCTTTAGTTTCTAACTTCTGGTTTTTCTACTCTTTATATATGCAATAATACTTTTCATAGGAAAAAGAAAAAGGAGTCAAATTTAAGCATCTCCCCCCAAAAATCCTATTTATGCTTTTAATAAATATTGTAATTCAGAATTCATTTTTTATTTTTATGTAAAAGCTACTACAAAACCAGTATTTGAAATTCATTTGTTGGCCTTTATACAGTGCAAACATTATTTTCCCTTATATCAACCTGCTTAAAAACCAAAACCAAACTCACTGCCAATGAGTCAATTCTGACTCAGAGCAACCCCCTTCATGTTTCTGAGGCAGTAAATTTTTATGGAAATAGATTGTCTAGTCTTCCTTCCACAGAGTGGTTGGTAGGTTTGAACCACCAACCTTCTAGCTAGCAGTCAATAACAACTTAGGCACTACACTACCAACGCTCCTATAGTTTACCAAAAAGGAGCCCTGGTGGCATAGTGGTTCAACACTTGGCTACCAACCCACAGGTTGGCAGTTTGAACCCACCAACTGTTCTCTGAGAAAAAGATGTGGCAGTCTACTTCTGTAAAGACTGACAACCTTAGAAACGCTATGGGGTAGTTCTACTCCATCCTACAGAGAAGTCATGAGTCAGAATCAACTCAACAGCAATAGGGGGGACAGCTTACCAAAATTTAAACTACTGGACTATGAAATCATATTTTTCCTTTGTTTCTTTCCTATGTGCACAAAACATAATCAACAGTAACTAACTTGAATTAGTAAAGCCTTTCAGCAAGAAAATTATGTAGCCTCTCAAACATAAAAACACAAACTACAAAAATGTTCCTGTGCTCTGTGTCCCTAATCTACATTTGCCCAAATATTTCTCTCGTTACTGTATTATCTTACGTCATAAAATATTTTATAGTGTACAAGATACTGTTAACATGTTTTAAGCAAGATTTTTTGTGTTGATGTACTTATAAAGAGTTTCAATTAAAGCCGTATTTTTATTTCTCCATAAAATACATTGATTCTCAAATACAGTTAGAACACAAATAAGTTTACATGATTATTTTCCCCTTTTTAATAAGGCAACATCTACCTAATAAGCTGGAAATCATAATCAATTATTGGCCAAATTAGAATTCCATACTGTTTTTGGCAATGAAAAATGAATCACTTTATAAATTTACATTATACTATTGCTCTAACAAGGAGCTCTGGTAGCATAGTGCCTAAGGCACTTGACTGCTCACCAGAAGGCTGGCGGTTCAAACCCACCAGCCACTCCTCAGAAGGAAGGTTGGGCAATCCTACTTCCGTAGAGATACTGCCTCGGAAACCCAAGGAGGGGTCGCTGTGAGTTGGGGCCGACTCAACGGCAAACAACAACAACAACAACATTGCTCTAACAACGTCCCTCTCACTTTGCATGTTTTGCACATGCAGCAAATGAGGCAAGGATGATGAAAACAACTGGAATTAAAATCCACAAATCCCTTAATTTATGAATTTGTTCTTAATTCAATTGATGTGATGATCATAATGGACATTCTAATTTATATAATTTCACCTCAATATGTGTTGACAAGGAGCTTTGGTGGCGTAGTGCCTAAGGCATTTGACTTTTAACCAGAAGTCTGGCGGTTCAAACCCACCAGCCATGCCTCAGAAGGAAGACTGGGCAATCTACTTCTGTAGTGACACTGCCTCAGAAACCCAAGGAGGGTCGCACTATGAGTCGGATCCAACTTGACTGCAGTTGAGTTTTTGGTTTGTTTGATGTGTTGGCAGGTTAATTTATCCAAGGATATTTACTTTAATAATTATCTTACAAAGACTTTAAGATATATAATGAGAAACTTACTCTGGCTCGAAGATATCCCAGGTTAGACAATAATAATGGAAACACATGATTCTGCAGCAACAACTCCATTTGGTCCTTGAATAAACTCTTCTGTTACGAAATGGAAATTAAATTTCAACTTACTAATTTTTCTATGTGCAAGAATCACTTTTCAAAAAATTATGAATTGCATTTAATACACTTTTAGTTACAATTTTATAAAATTTGTTCACCTAGATATTGCATGTTTTAAATCAGAACAAAAATAATATCTCAGATACAATCTGATAATGATTTTGTAGAAACAAAACAGTAATACTGAAGTCATTTGGTATCCTTCTTTACACAGCAACAATTTCATACAAACTGATAAAACAGGTAAGTCACATTTTCTTTTTAATTAAAGAAATAGATGACAGAAAGAAGGCTATTTATAGTCCACTCAATTATCCAGAAGCAGTCATCAGTTTAAATCATCCATGACTTTCATAGTGTCTCTTTTGCCTATTTCTTCACAGTTTAATTAAAGTAAATTAACATTTTAATTATCTTGACCTTCAATAAAATATCAGCTAGGGAACCAATCACATGCAGAGCTCCATCTTTCTTCCTAGGGTCAAAGTTCAGGTCTGTTAGGATTTGATAACAGAATGCCATCATTTTTGGCAACACCTAGAGAGACAGAAGAATCCATTTTAGTCTACATGAGCTTTTACTACGTACTAAAGTATCAAATATGATGCACATATTTTCAGAAATAGACATTTTATCTTATCAAACAATTATAATCCTAACAAAAAAGATACAACTTATTAAAAACAGAATAACCAATGACACTTCACCCTGTTTCCTCACTAGAACAGAGAAATATTTTTAAAGTGACATGACTGATAACAACATAATTTTTCAAATACTAAGAGATATATATGACTGTCAAATCAATACAGGCCACTTCTTAGTTTTAGATTTAAAGAGAAAAACATATACCTCTTTTCTTTTCTTTGCAGCAGTATATAAGAGAGCCTGAGCTGCTGTGGTGGGAGAAGCATAATCTTCAAAAATATCTAAGATTTCAAAAGATTGAGCCATGTTAATAACGATGCAATTACTTATTACAGATTTACAACCTGAATAATCACTATTCTAAAACCAAAAAATAAAACAGTCCACATGACACTAATCTACATGATAAAAAAGCTAAGCATAAATCTCACTGATGCTCTCATATGCAACAGTATCTGTCAATCTCTACAGTCTGCCCTTTTAAACATACCAAAGAAAATAAATTAGGCATATCTGTTTCACTGAAGATAGGAAATATACAAAAACAATAATAATTCATCTAATGCTTACTATGTGCCAGGCACTGTTCTAGACTCTGCAGATACAAAGGCTAATAAAAAGAAAGATTTCTCATGCTGCTTATGCAGTGAGAGAAAAAATAAGCAGATACACATACACACATCCACATACAATAATAGGTCAGGTTCAGAAGAAACTTCAACAGTGTAAGGAAACAGGCTGACAGGGTGGGGGCTGCTAGTTTAAATAAGGTCTCTGGGAAAGGCTCTCCAATTCTAAGGTAACAATTAAGCAGAGACTGAATGAGATAAGGAAAAAATGTACACATGGAAATCTAAAGATAAAGCAGTCCACACAGAGGGAACAATAAGTATAAAAGCCCTGAGGGCCTGCTAAGACAATCCTTGGCTCTGTCAATATAGGTAGATTTTCAATAGGTATTTGTGGAATATGTATCTATTTAAAATTAATCATGAAAACTTTCACAAATTGTAAATCAGGCAGTTTTATATAAGAATCTGAAAACTTGAGAAGTATTTGAATATGTTCATGCTTTTGTTTTTTGTTTTTGTTTTTGACGGTGGGCAAATTAAAGCATTTTATAATACCCCTGCAAATAGAAAATACCATGTTTTTACCTCCTTTCATACTCCTGTATTTGAGCTCAGTCCTCTCACCTGGGGTGGAGCACCTTGGTTTTAGAATCTCTTGAAAAACCAGCCCATTTTCTCCCCATGGTCTATCTTATTTAATGCCAAATAGAGTTTGAAAATCATTTCTTTCCCTAAATGGCTAATGTATCTCTCTAAGTTTTTATAAGTCAAATCCTCCCATTCATTGTTATATATGTTATATGCCGTCGAGTCGGCCCCGACTCATAGCGACCCCTCCTTGGGTTTCCGAGGCAGTATCACTACGGAAGTAGGATTGCCCAACCTTCCTTCCGAGGAGTGGCTGGTGGGTTTGAACCACCAGCCTTCTGGTTAGCAGTCAAGTGCCTTAGCCTCTATGCTACCAGAGCTCCCATTCATAGGGTTCCTTATTACTTATTGTGTGTGTGTGTGTGTGTGTGTGTGTGTGTGAGAGAGAGAGAGAGTGAGAAACAGAGAGACAGAGAGAAAGAGGCAGAGCACACGGCCATCCCTCCACCTGAGGCCTCTTTGATCTGAGTTTTGTTGAAAGGAAAGCCAAGCTTCTTGTGAGGCTACGGACTGATTCATCACAGCTTCTCCTGGCTAACTCAAGGCAGTGATTTTCAGACAAGATCTCTTATAGCCAATCAGGTCGCACAGTGGCCTGAGAAAGTATTGATTCTATGAACTCCTTTTTTATTTAAAAAATAATGATTTATTTCATTACCTTTCCCAAGTTAATATGAATCTACCCTCTAGTTACTAGTATACCCTCCCTCTCCTACCCACCCCTGGTAACCATCAAAGAATATTTCTTTTTGTGTAAAATCTACTTGACTTTTTACAATAGTGGTCTCATACAACATTTGTCCTTTTGTGATAGACTAATTTCACTTAGCATAATGTCCTCTAAGCTCATCCGTGTTATGCTTCCCAAATTCATCAACGTTCTTTAATGCTGCACAGTATTCCATTGTGTGTATGTACCATAGTATGTTGATCTGTTCTTCCCCTAATAGGCATTTAGGCTGTTTCCACATTTTTGCTACTATGAATAGACTGCAATGAACACGGGCATGCGTATATGCATTGATCTTATGGCTCTTATTTCTCTAGGATATATACCTGGAGAAATATATCTAAATATATAGTAATGGGATGGTTGGATCATATGGTTGAATATGCCTATGTTTTAATATAAGTCTTTGCCTCAAAATATAAGATATAAAATGCAAACAAAGTAATAGCTAACATTTATTGAATGCTTATTCTGTGCCAAGCACAATGCTAAGATTTTATAAGCAACTAGTATTCTATGCTAAGCCTGTGTATTATTCCATTTAATCCTACCAGCAATATTATCATTGTCTGTTTTATAACGGAAAACACTGTACCTGAGAGAGGTTAAGTAATCTGCCCAGTGTCACACGAGCAGATCGGCATTCACGCCTACATTGTCTTAAGCCTAAGTGCGTGCTAGCTTTTACCAAATATAAAAACATTACTACTAATATTAGTCAACGTTATGGATTGAACTGTGTTCTCCCAAAAGTATATATTGGAATCCTACCCCTGTACCTGTGAGAATAATCTCATTTGGAAATAGAGATTGCTTTGTTATGTTAATGATGCTATTATCAGTGTAGGGTATGTTTTCAACCTAATGACTCTTAAGATATAAAAAGAACAGAGAGAAACAAACACAAATTGGGGAAATCTCTACATGGAGATGACCAAGGGAAGGAGGAACACTGGGGTTACAGAAGCTGAGACACATATGGTACCCCAGAGCTGACAGTGAAAGAGCCCTCCCCTAGAGCCAGTGACCTAAAGACAGACTTCTAGCCTCCTGAACTGCAAGAAAATAAATGTCTGTTCGTTAAAACCACTCCATGTGGTATTTCTGTTACAGCAGTACTAAGAAACTAAGACAATCAATAAATTAAGATAGGAATATTTTGTTCATATAAATAATTGCTAGTGACAAAAATATAAAAAGAAAACTAGTGCAGTAACTGTTCTTCCCTATAGTTATCTAAGAGTAAAATACACACATCAAATAGCCATTGCATTCTAGGCCACAGAAGGCCATATGATTACGGAAAAAGCACTTTGGTTAGTTTGGTTTATCTACATTTTTTTTAATAATCAATAAAATGTAAATTATTTCTGTCAATCTGCATACCTACAACTCTTAATGTTTTAAAAACTAGATTCTATCCTATTTGTGATAATGAATAAATGAAATAATGGAAGCTTTTGGAAAGCTAAACAAATACTCTGTGTATAACAAAAACATAAGTATTACAAAAAAGGTAAACACATAAAGGATGCCTTGAAGAAGATAGAAAAAAGACTTGTTTTGTTTGTTTGTTATGTGCCGTCGAGTCGGCCCCGACTCATAGCGACCCCTCCTTGGGTTTCCGAGGCAGTATCACTACGGAAGTAGGATTGCCCAACCTTCCTTCCGAGGAGTGGCTAGTGGGTTTGAACCGCCAGCCGTCTGGTTAGCAGGCAAGTGTCTTAGCCATTATGCTACCAGAGCTCCCAGAAAAAAGACTAGCTTAAGGAAAACAAAGGCATCAGGAAAGAGAAATAAGCCATGCAGAGATGTACAATGATTCTCAAAAGGAAAGGCAGAATAAAGGGATAAAGCAGATCATAAATGTTGTTTCTCATTCGTTTGCTTTATTTGTACTTCGTCTGCAAGAAGAGGTACATCCTCACTAACTAAATCGAGTAATACAAAAGACAAAGCACTGTAAAAACAACACAGGCCAGATCTAGTATCTCTATCAATAGGTTTAACTCGCATAGCTAGGGACAAGTGGCCCAACAAAGGGAAAAGAGTGCTTTGTCACAAAGTACCTTTGGCATGCCTGTACAGTGCAATCATTTCTTTCAGCATTTATTAAAGGCTTACTAGAGCCAAGCACCAGTAAAGGAATGTAGAGATATAGAGGGAATGGTGAACGTAAAATAAAGCCAATGAATAAGATAAAGTCCTTATACTCAGATAATTTCTAAATAGTGGAAGACAGAGGTACAAAAATTGCATTTTGGCATGTTAAGTGCTTGAGTACGCTGTGAAGTGATTAATTCCAACTGGGGATAAAAGGGAATGAACTCAGGCAAACTATGTAGTTCAGAAGTTTCCAGGAAGATCCATGCTAGAAGGGCCCCAGAAAACTGGCCCACACATAGTGGACCACTGTAGGTAACCCCATTCTCTTTTGAAATAGTTAGTCTCAATTACCAAAATGGGGTGCTCCTAAAATATGCACAAATCCAAAGGATCTCCCAATGGAAAATAAGCCAATCTATAAATGGGTACTCCTAAAAGCAGAGAAAGGGAACTCTGGTAGCATAGTGGCTAAAGCACTTGACTGCTAACCAGAAGGCTGGCGGTTCAAACCCACCAGCCACTCCTCAGAAGGAAGGTTGGGCAATCCTACTTCCGTAGTGATACTGCCTCGGAAACCCAAGGAGGGGTCGCTATGAGTCGGGGCCGACTCGACGGCACACAACAACAACAACAACAAAAGCAGAGAAAGATATGGTCCCTGTAGATCAGCATCACAACAACAAAAGCAACAGATGGCTCCATGATTTTTTCAGCACCTATAAAGACAGATGAATAAGGTGGCTTTTCACCTCCCATATCCAAAGGTCCTACATGATTGGTTCAGTGAAACATCACACTTTCACGGGTTTCAGAGTTTATCATCCAAATGAGAACTCTGAAATTTAACAAAATAATAAAATCTGTTTAAAAATATAAATTTAGTTATATTACTTTACATATCCAAGAACTGATGAAGAATAAAGCCATATGGATTACCAAATTTCATTCTGATATACTCATATGGATCTTCTTGCCACAGCTCTTCATCTTCATCTTTATAACACATTACAGAAAAAATCACATCCTCAGAGATATTCTAAGAGAAGAAAACAAAAAACAACAAATGAATGTAGGGTATTTAGATTTTGGAGATAACAATACTGTATATACTGACATCCTTTCTGATCTCAGTTTTGTTGCAGCTGTTTCAAGTTGTTATAATCATCTTTCTGTTAAGCTTACATTTACTAAGGTGGAAGCAAGAAAGCAAGAGCCTTTCAGGAATGGTTAGGGTTATGGTATTTCTGAGTTAAATATAAATTGTTTTAAAACAATTGATTCAAAATATATAGGAAGAATACTGGATAGAGTGGGAAAACAATGTGGAACAAAACTCAAAATCATTTGAGGGGAAAAAAAAAAGGAACCAGGTTTGCTGGTCTGATAGAGCCTGGTGGAACCACTGAGACTATGGTCCCTAGCTGCCTTTCAGGTCTGGAATTGAACCCACACCTGTGGCTTCCAGCCAAACAAAAGACAGGCATATGAACTGAACATTTACATTAGGTAGATACACTCCTTGGAGAGAATAATCATGGGAGAATAGAGGTCTGTGTATGCATAGGGAGACAGCTCGGGGGGCAGGAATGCATGGAGGGATGGACACAGGGAAGAGATAACTATGGGGAGGAAGTGGGAGGGGAGCTGTTGCATTGTGGGAAATTTCAGTCAATGTCATGAGACAAAGAAAGTGTATGTGAACTGCTGTATGGAAAATGAATTTACTCTGTAAACTTTCACCCAAATCACAATTTTAAAAAAAAGAGATATATAGGAAGAGATTGATGCACAATGCTACTCTTTGAACTAACAGAAGGGATAATCAAGTTCTTTAAGGAAGAGCCAAAAATTTCAACCCAAGGTCATATTAACTATTTCTTATTTCAAAATTTTTACATTTCCATTTTGGTCCTAAATGTCAGTATATTGATAGAAATAATTTTTTTCTTTCCTTCAATTAAAAAAAAAAATCAAATTTGCTACTCTACAAATTCAGGTTTCAGGGGTAAGGGGGGAATTGCATCCAGTAACTTCTCAGAACACTGCTGCTAATGCTCCAGTAAGGCCTTTTGTGCTTTAACAAGTACATGTTTAAAATGGGATGATCTCTTATCATTTATCCAAAATTTTAAAGCTATAAAAGGAAAATATTCAGCCTAAGGATGACAGCTTTCTTATTCTGATTATTACCAACAAAACCAAACCCACTGACATTCAATTCTGACTCATAGTGACCCTACAGGACGGAGTAGAACTGCTCCATAGGGTTTGCAAGGCTATAAATCTTTACAGAAGCAGAATGCCTCATGTTTCTCCTGCAGAGAAGCACACTTTTGCCACAGAGCAGCTGATGGATTTGAACCACCTACCTTTCGCATAGTGCCTAAGGCACTTGACTGCTAACCAGAAGGCTGGCGGTTCAAACCCACCAGCCACTCCTCGGAAGGAAGGTTGGGCAATCCTACTTCCATAGTGATACTGCCTCGGAAACCCAAGGAGGGGTCGCTATGAGTCAGGGCCGACTCGACGGCAAATAACAGCAACAACAACCTATAGGTTAGTAGCTGTATGTTTTAACCACTGTGCCTCCAGAGCACCTATTTCTATATTATAGTCATATAAAAATAAGGCCACAGGTATCAAGTAGAGAAGAAATACTATCAATCCACCATTACTCTACAAGAACATAAACAGCAAATAAAATGAACCTGAATCTTCATTAGTAGCAAACAAAATTTATCATTATTTGATCAAGGTGATTGGGTAGAGTTACTATTAAGGTGTTCACATAAAACATAATAAAAATATATATTTGTCAAACCTATAATAAGACAGGCATTTGACTGCTAACCAGAAGGCTGGCAGTTCAAACCCACCAGCCACTCCTCGGAAGGAAGGTTGGACAATCTACTTCTGTAGTGATACCGCCTCAGAAACCCAAGGAGGGGTCACTATGAGTCAGTTCTGACTCGACAGCACATAACAACAACAACAACAGAGAACACAACAATCCAAAACAAGAAGAACCTTTTTTTTTATTCAGAGCTATAAAGGAAAACGGGCATATAGCTTGATTTTCCTGCAAAATAGCACTATCTCAGCAGAGCTCTAAGGAGAGTTTCCAAAATACTTTCACATAAAATACCGTATTTGATCCCAGCAATGTTTAGATAAAAAGGGCAGAAAAACATGATCTGACTTAAAACAAAGGGAAAATGAGGATAAATATGATTCCAAGCAAGCGCAACTGAATCTAAGCTTTCCAATGCATAAAACTTGAAAGTCCTCACACCTCAAATGTTTAAATTTCCATGTCCTTCATAGCAGTATAATATGAGACAGCACTCATTTGGTTACACTAGATATAACACTTAACTCTATCTAGAAAACATAAATTCAAATAGAGAAAAATTTTGGAAAGCTGCTCCCAGACACAAACCTGTATGTGTGGCTTCATCTGCTTCCAGGTAACAGAATGAACAACCCCTTGATTGAGATAGTTGAATGCTTGCTGAAGAACACGGGGGGCTACGTACTCTTTCTGTCTGTATTGGTCTAAAATTTTTAGAAGTACCTGCAGAAAAACAGGAAAAGAACATTAACAATTTAAAGGGTGGCAGCTTCTTAGAATCCACAGAAATAAAAATGAACAAATTTAACTAAATGAAAATTGCAAACTTCCATGCAGCAAGAGTTACTATAAACAGATTTTAATATGTAATAAAAGTATCATCTAGAATTGGAAGAAAAAAGATCATTTTATTCAAAAAACAGAACTGAGACAACTGACCAGCCCTCTGAATGAAATTAAGGCAGCTGCCTAACTAAAACTTCTTATCAAAATAAACTCCACATGGGGAAATATTTTAAAAAATTATAGCACAGAATTTCTACAAGAAAATGGAGGGGTATCTGGACCACAGAAGGTCCTAGACAGAACTGGAGAAAAATGTAGAACAAAATTCAAAATCATAAAAAAGACCAGACTTACTGGTCAGAGAGAAACTGGTGGAACCCTCAAGACTGTGGCCTTTAGACAACCTTCAAACTTGGAACTGAACCTACCCTTAGGGATCACCTTTCAGCCAAACAATAGACAGGCCTATAAAGTAAACTGTAACTCTTGTGAAGAATGTACTCCTCAAAACAATTAACTATCTAAGACCAAAAGGGAAGCATTTGCCCCAAAACAAAATGCAGAAGGCAGGAAGTGGTAGGAAAGAAGGACAAACAGATATGGGAAACCTGGGGAAGAAATAGAAGAGTAGTGTTATATTTAGGGAATTGTGACTAATGTTACAAAACAAAATGTATGAAACTTGCTGAATGGAAAATTAACATGCTCTGTAAACTTTCACCCAAAGCACAATAAAAAGGAGAAAAAAAGAAAATGCTAGGGAATTTTATAATCTCAGATCACTGAAATATTTTGTAAATGAACACAAAATTGATTTTTTTAAAGACTGATATTAAGAAAATGATTATAATAAATACAAAGTGGTTGTGCTTAACTCAAAGACCCTCAGTACAAGAAAGCATTACAACACAGCCTAAGTCTTTCAATTGCAGGTCTCTAGAGCACTTCATTGCATCATGCTCTAAGAGTTGCTGAGTAAATATGTACAGAATTTATAAATTCAGAATATGAATTCAGTTCACATATTCCACCTTAAAATGACAAGTTCATATTATTTAACTTTACATTAAATAAAGAACACTAATATGCATGTTGTTGTTATGTGCTGTCGAGTCAGACCCGACTCATAGCGACCCCTCCTTGGGTTTCTGAGGCAGTATCACTACAAAAGTAGATTGCCCCATCTTCCTTCCAAGGAGCGCCTGGTGGGTTTCAACTGCCAGCCTTCTGGTTAGCAGTCAAGTGCCTGAGATTTGTAAAAATCTAGAAACACTTTCTATACCATTTTAGTTTTTTATTAAGTCTGATTAATCTTGCTTCCTGACATAGCCAATGCTCAATAGCTATTAAATTTTGTTTGTTAAATATAAACAAAATATCATGATTCAAATGGCAATACTAATCAACCAATTTTAATAGTCCACTTATCCTTTATAGTTTTTAAAGTTCTAAAAACTAATATAAACCTGGATCATGTCTCGAGAATTTCTAACTTTTACTGTACAGAAGAGTTCCAAAACTTACACTAAAAAGTGTACGTTCTCAGCTGAAAGTTTTAACGTCTAAGTGTAAATGGTCTTGAAATAATTAGATATATATTATCTTCTAATTCAATTTGTAAATCTTCTAATACAAAAGTCGACAACAAAGAGGTGAGGCTCAAAGAAAATAAAAAAGAAATTCATATAAAAAATTTCTAAAAAGTCAGGGAGAGTTAACAGAAGAATCTCATCTAATACTGATGACCGCTATATCAGCCATCAACAAATTCAAAAGGTTTGAGTCAAGAGAGTTGGAGTCTGTCTGTAGGGCAGTTCTATGGTAGCCGCCCTAAAACTTTTGGGTCTAAAATTGATGTCACCGTATTAAGATCCTGACGTTGCTATTTCATCATCTACAAATATATAGTTTATTATGTTTTCAACCTAGTTTTAAATGAATAGATATGACTTCCCTTTCAACAGTAACCATTCTTCTATTTTAAAAGCGTAAGTTTATTACCTGCTGAATTCCCACTGCATAGGTTTTCAAGAAGAATTCAGAAAATTCAAAGTACTCTTTTGTGACAGTTCCTGGGCTTCCATACCTGAAAATACAATGAGAAAATGTTTAAATATTATGACTTTTAAAAGCAAAGCATGCTCACTAGTTTAAATACAGTCCCTTGTTTACAGATATATTCCATTGGGGCAGAAAACTAACATTTTCCTGATTTTTCAATAGCTCCATAATGAAATCATGATGATCCATACGTAGCCTCAGGGCCATACTTAAAATTTCAGACAGAAGATTTACCTACTAAATCAAGAGCTTCCAAAGGGCAAATATTAGAACTAAGAATATGTTATGTCTGATATCCAATAACTTTTTAGTAAATCCTCTCAAAATTAAACATTTTTCCCTATGCAGCTGAGAGCCATGCACCTTCATTCACAATTCCTGGTTATTTCCTAAGGTATACAACGTCATTTCCCCATGCTTTTTAGAGAAGACTACTCACTTCCTTATCATTTCAAAATCAATTATTACAGTTAAGCCTGCTTGAAACAGAGGATGACTTTCTGCCTTTACGGCTCTAAGGACAAATAATCAAATAGAGCATCGATATCAGACAGATATTTTATTATCTCCAATCCTGACATCCTAAGTACAAGACTGTAATTCTAATAAAAAGAGACTCACCGTTCAAACAGACGAGCTACAATATGCAATGCCCACTTCTTACACTTCCACCATACTAGTTCTGGTCTATCATCCTCATCAATTTGCAGAGTCTCCTAAGAGGGCAAAATACCCAGATTAAATGTCTATATAATAAAAGAGTTTATGTGAATAACCAAGGCAGAGTAAATCTTGATATAGATTAACTCATACTAAATGTAAACTCAGATTGTCATACAATTACAAATTTTATTTTATAGATTAATATTTAGAAATCCAATAGACAAAAGAAAATTTCAGTTAACAAATGCTGTTTGTCACATATATCTCCTTACCTTCAAAAGGCCCTTCAAAACCTAAAGCTCCACGTCCCATGAGGAAACTCTCTGGGATGATGGAAAAGTTCTATATCTTAATCTGGGCATGATAATACAAGGGTATGTGTTTGTGAAAACTCATTGCTTATTAAATTCTGTACATTTATGTATGCAAATAAACTTCAAATAATTTTTACCGGGAGCTCTGGTAGCGTAGTGCCTAAAGCACTTGACTGCTAAACAGAAGGCTGGCGGTTCAAACCCACCAGCCACTCCTCGGAAGGAAGGTCAGGCAATCTACTTCCGTAGTGATACTGTCTTGGAAACCCATGGAGGGGTTGCTATGAGCTGGGGCTGACTTGAGGGCACATAACAACAACAACAACATAATCTTTACCAAGATATGGACAAAGGAAAAGACACTTCACATTTTAAGATAAGCTTAGATTTAAAAATACTCAAAGTTGATTTGGTAAGTAATAGTATCATTACTACAGATTAAAATGAGGCATCATCTTTCACCTACCAAACTGATAAACTCAGAACTACACTTAGAGCAATTTGCAAGACTAGTGAAAAGCCTGAATGTGACAATTAAACTTCTACAGGTTTCTCCAAAGAAAATAACCACGATATGTGCACAAAAATCTAACTCCAGACTTATAGCTAGAACAGTAAAAATCTAAAACACTCTAAAAGTCCAGCAAATGAAGCATTCAAAAAAATGATACAGTACAAAAACTTTAATAATATTATAAATATTTATAATAGATTTAAACGAAAAATGAATTTCAAAATAGTATCTATATATATCATTTTTAAATAATATGGCTGCATACAGGTACAAAGAAAAAAAGACAAAAGGAATAAATGCCAAGTTTTTAAAATGGTTATTATTCTTTTTAGTAGAATTATAGTTATTATTTTTGCTCATCTGAATTTTCTAAAATTAATGTGTATTATCAATTACTTTTATTACAGTAGTAGTTTTGCAAATAGCAGGCTAACATAATAAATCAGTCTTCCACAAATAACCCAAAACCAAGTTTCACCAATTTTCCTTAGTAACAGAAGCCCTTTCTTACAGGAGGAACTGTTCTGTCAATAATAGTTCGAAAGATCTCCATCCATTCTGTCATCATTTGGTTATTCATCAGCTGAAGAGGCAATGCATACTGGAGGATAGAAGAGTAACAACATAAATAATTCTTCTCTTCCAAAAAGAAATTAGTGAGTTTATATTATAAGGTTGAAATACATGAAAAGGCAATGAAAATAGAAATTTCATATGGCTGAAGCTGAAATTAAGCTTAAAATATTCAAAAGTACATGTATGTAAATTAAATTTTCTTAAATTCTAGAAGTAGAAGCACTAAACTTCACAGAGGTTAGAGGAAGAAGTGGGATTTTGTAGTAACTTCAAGCACGATATGGTGAAAGAGGGCTTTTTATTTATTTATGAAATGTTTGACTTGTTTTTCTGGATTACTCTTATATTTAAAAAAAAAAAAAAAATCAATACAATAAGGTCTCATTTATCCAGCAAGAGATTCTAGACAAATGATTTTTACCATTTACCCCTTGGTGTATCAAACTTTAATTTTAACCACTTTGATAAAATTCTTTACTCATTCAACAGAGTACTGCTATTCATTAAACCTTTTTTCAGTTACTTTCCCCTATACTGTGGCATAATATGAAAGTTCATTTTTGTATTAAACAGGTATGTGTCTGCTTTGCTGTGAGCTGCAGGAGATAAGGGATAGTGCCTCTGCATCCATTCATTCCACAAACATACTATACACTGAGGACATAATAAGACAGACATGATCTCTGCCCTCATGAAGTTTATACTCCAGTTGAGAAAAAACACATATGAACAAGGAAAATATAATACACATAAAATATGGTATGATACCAATACAGATATTAGTACAATATTCATAAAACACACAGGAAGGTCACCTAATCCAACTGGGAAATAAGGAGCAACTTCCCAGAAGTGATATTCAAGCTGAGACCTAGAGAATGAGGATAAACTGGCCAGGCCACAATGAGCAAGAAGGATGGTCCAGGCAGAAGTACAGTATTTGTAAAAGCTCAGAAGAAACGAGAGGACCTGTTTGTAAAGCTGCGAGAATTTCATTACAGCTGAGTATAAAGCAGAAAGGTATTAAGGTAGAAGATAAAGCCAGAGAGGTGAAGGATTTTACAGGCCATGAGACTATATAATAACAGTCAATAATAGCTGATACTCAGTGAGCACCTTCCATGTGTCAGGCAGAAATACAATATTCATGTTCGTCTTCTGGTTTAGAAACCTACCTGAACAAGTGCATAAAAGATTTTCAGAATCTGTTTCTGTAGTAATACAGAATAATGGGAAGAATCAGGAAGGAGCTGGATGATTTGCTGCTGAATTCGAGGCAGAAATACTTGCATTGCTGCTATGAGGGGTTCTCTTTCCTCAGCTTTCTTATACCTACATGAGCAAAGACAGAAAGAGAGAAAAGTGATTCCTCCCCCAAAAAGAGGAAACATGCTATACACCGAGGACATAATAAGACAGATATGATCTTTGCCCTCATGAGCAATAAACAGAGAAAAAATACATATATACATTATATTGAAAACGACATAAAACTAACCAAAACATTCAAAACATCAGCTTATATTTTCTGTTAGGATTACTAGAATAAAGGTGGAAGAAACTTTGAAATGGAAATCCTTATTTTAGGCAGAATATCTAAAAATCTTTCTAAAAAATTTAGACTAGCTTTAAAAGAACCCAAGATTATTTTGTAGCTTTCCTACATGAATTTTGCTGGTATTTTCGTCTTCATCATACAAGAATTCTTCCTATAAAATACAAGTTGACTGATACATTAATTGAAATAGATAAACATTCTTATTATATAACATATAATGTGGGAGGGGGGCACTTCTTCTTATACTATCCTAAATTGAGAAGTCAAAATAGTTTACAAACATAGGTGCTCTTAAAAAAAAAAAAATCTCACTGCCATCAAGTCGGATCCAACTCATAGCGACCCCTCCTTGGGTTTCCGAGGAGGTATCACTATGGAAGTAGATTGCCCAACCTTCCTTCCAAGGAGTGGCTGGTGGGTTTGAACAGCCAGCCTTCTGGTTAGCAGTCAAATGCCTTAGGCACTACACCAACAGAGCTCTTAGATCACATTAATTGCTATAAATCTACAATACTCTCACAATTCTAAAAATACAGTATAAACTAATTAGTTTAAAAGAAAGAAAACTATAGGATTTTGTATATACAAGTAGCAATCCTCTCAAAAACCAGAAAGTGACACTGTTAAGTGTGATACTGAATCCCTTGCCAGTCAAGTAGCTTTTATGGGAAAAGAATGTCACTAGCAAAGAAACAAGGAGCCCTAGTAGCACAGTGGTTAAGCACTCAGCTGCTAACCCAAAGGTCGGCAGTTAGAATCCACCAGCTGCTCTGTGAGAGAAAGATGTAGCAGTCTGCTTCTGTAAAGATTTACAGTCTGGGAAACCCTATGGGGCATTTCTACTCTGCCCTAATAGGCTCACTATGACTTGGAATTGACTTGATGGCAATGGGTATGGTTTTCCTGGGTAGCAAAGAAACTAACATTTTCTATCTTAACATCCATAAAGATAAATGTTTGGCTTACTTAATAATATACTCTCAAGAGGACATATGTTAAGGTGCCTCTATATCAGCATTTCCAGTGAAAGCTGTTAATAAGTGGTCTTCTGAAACTATCAAATAACTTTGAGAAGCTCTGCATATTATATTCCTGTTAGTAACGATGCACATTAGCATATTAAAGGTTCTTTGACTAACTGTAGTGAATAACATGTTTCACTGTGTTTAATTGAATGTCTCCTAAAGGAGTCCAATTCTACAGAACACCCCTGGCACAGATCCCTGTATGCAAGTTAACATAAAGCTGGTATATTCAGCCAACAGAAATCAACTTACTCGTATGTCTTCACCAGTTGATACAGACATAATAAGCTGCCAAGCCAGCTTCCACTGCTCTGTGATTGCAAGTAATAGTCTATCTTGTCAACTACCGATGGCCAGTGACCAGGAAAATCATGTTTAATGATGGCACGGAGACACATTGTTAACTGGACTCTATGGAGAGGGGGGTCCAAAATGTAAACAGTTATAGATGTCAGGTTTTAAAGACCTCTAATATCTTACATGTAAGTACTCTAAGTTCTTTACCATGTTATATAGTTATCTATCAAGGATGGAAAAAATAAAACCAGCTCCTCTAAAAAAAAAAACCTCAATAGCTCAAGTTATTGAAAATAGACAGAATGGATGATTTCCTAAAATGAATGAAACTTTCATTCTCTCTTACCCTAAGTACATCTTTGAAAAAAAATTAATTTAGAAAGAAATTCATATAAATTTTCAAAAAAAAAAAAAAAAAACAGCTCAGGGGGCAGGAGTACATGGGACAGAAGGACACAGGGAAAAGGTAACTGAGGAGGAAGTGGGAAGAGAGGTATCACACTGTGAGGAACTGAAACTGTAGTCAATGTCATGAAACAAAGTATGTATGAATTGCTGTATGGAAAACGGATTTGCTCTATCAACTTTCACTCACAGCACAATAAAAATTAAAAATAATAACAAGATGATGACAATGAATCCACCTCAGCTGTGCAAAATTTCCAACTTATATTTTGGTTATCCTATTACAAGGAGGTAACAAATATTTTAATATTTCAACTGGACAATCTTAGCCTACAAATGGTGAAAGTAAAACAGAGGCTCACATAACTGTGGCCTTGAACATATCCATTATCAGGTAACAGCCAACATGGTATATTATACTTAGCAAAGCTGCCTGAGATACTGATTTTTTGTACTCTGAGTATAAGAAATAAGTATTAGTTAAATAATTCCTGAAAAGGAAGCAAAGAGCTGTTTCCAAACAAGTAAGAGAAAAACAACTGGAAGACAAAACAGAAAAAGAGAATACCCCTTTAATAAACCAGTAACGTTATGTGATAAAAGGTATGATCTCCTAACACTTAGATCAGTAATTATTTCCTCCTGAGACCCCAATTCTAATTGGAATTAAAAATAAAATGAGAAAAATAATTTTTCTTCACACTGTCAATATCATCACCAAATACGTCCCAATAGGGCCATTTGCAAAAGGCCAGAAAATGAATATGACTAAAATAGGATTCCACAGTGCCTAAAGATGGGTGTTCCATTAAACAGCCAATAACTTGGATTTACTGCAACTAGTAAAATAAACAAAATAATGCCTTTTCCTTATGTTACCAAATTTCTTCAAAAATTTTCTCTGTAATATTCTTAAACTTTGAGTATAGGAAAGAAAATATTTCTCCAAGTGTGATTATAATTAACTCTTAAGGAGTAACTTAAGAAAAGAAACAAACCAACAAAGAATTCTCATGATAAAGATCTCCTTTGTCACCAGAAACTATTCATTTAAACAACAAATAAGTCATATTTATATAAAGTAAAAACTTTTCATTTTCTTTAAATTTCATCTTCAGATTATCACTCCAAATTCTTTCTCATGCCAAGCCAAGCAAAAGATACCTATGAAAGGAGAAACCTGCTAACTATAAATTGTTATTTAATGTGTTAGTGAGTAGAATCATTGGAAGACTCAAGAAGAGCTGAAAATGGAAGGATTTTTGACAAGAATCAGAATACACGATGGCCCAGAAGGGTATCAGTGACTGGCATTTGGGCAACCACTGGGAATAAAGATAATATTCTTTAATCAATAAGCCTGTTTTCTCCTCTTACCTAATAAAATAACTGCACTAAAAGGAGTTGCTCAATGTTAGTTCTCTTTCCTGTTATCACTTCCCTCCCACTTCCTTCCTTTCCCACTGCTTATGTCATAAGTTTATTAGGCACTCAGGTTAAAACCATACCTAATTTCTAAAATTTCATTCCACTACATCCATTTCACCTATAAAATAATTTACTTCTATTTGAAGATAGCAAAATTTTCATGATTCTATAGCTGAAATGGGACAGCCACTAGCCACATATGCACACTTCAAATTAGTCAAGATTAAATAAATTAGAAATTCAGTCCCTATTTGCACTACCCACATTTCAAGTGCTTCAAGCTATCTGAGGCAAGTGGCTAAACATTGGGCAATGTGAATAATTAACATTTTCCTCACTGCAGGAAGTTCTACTAGACAGTGCTGCCCTGTAGCATCTATGGATTTGAGAAACTAGAGATAAGTCTTCTCCACCACTTGACCGTCTTCTCCAAAGCAAAAGATAATCAGTTCATGAGAATGAATAAAAATATACGTAAAGGTTAAGAAAAGTGTCAGGTAAAAATTCCCAGAAGTCAATCTCCCTGTGTCAGAGAAAAAAATAACAAAATCATGTACAAAATATTTTGAGGCAAAGAATCACAAACACAAAGATAAAATAAAGAATATTATTTAAGTGTCCATCTTTACTACCTTATAGCTTTTTTAAAAAATGAGACTGATGATTAGATCCCCAAAACCCCAATACCCCTCCCCGCTAAGACCCAAATATTTTTTGTTTCCTACTGATCATACAGTATAATGCACCTCACTAAATCTGGAGACCGAATTATTCCTTCCACAATGTTATCACGTATCTGCTGGCGATCATTTTCATGAATGTTGAATGGAAATACTGCTTCTCCTGGTGGAGGTTCTCGGTCTGGCCAGTACTGTGTCACCATGTTCTTCAGGTAAATGGCAGCTAAGTTAAAAGAAAAAATGCTAACATAGCAGTATTGAATGGGTAGCTTTAATTCCAATCTACAGAACATGAAAGGTTAAGTCTCCAAGGCTGAACATGAAATGCAACAAAAAGTGGAAAATCTTAAAAGTTATAAATAGCCAAGCAGGGAAGGGAAAACGGAAAAGATTTAAAAGTTTCTCTTTAGCTAGTTAAGCAAGTCTAAGCAGTAAACATTTTATCAAATCAAGCTTCAGTGTTTAAATGACAAAACAATGACTTATGTATCAAGTACATAACCTTAACCTAAATGCAAGGTCTAAATAAGTCCCTATTCAACATACTTTGAAATCTTGAGAGTCACATTTTTCAAAACACTTAATATTGAGTTCGCAGCAGGAGAAATTCTGTTTTTCCTCACGTAGATTGCTTTTTTTACTTATTATCTTTCACCTGCTCTATTTGGTACTACTATTTTGAAATAGTAGTACCTTTTAACTTTTTTTTAAGATGCTTAATACTTATAAACCTTTTAACCTTTTTTAAAATGCTTAATACTTATAAACATAATAGGAAGAATGACACTAGCCTTCAAATATGTTTGGACAAAATCAGGAAATCTTCTATCAGTTTATTTCTATCAAAATATGTAATCAGTGATTTTGTTCCTATTCTTATTAACCATCTTCAACTTTTAATAAAAGGCTTCTGAAAGAAACAAATTGATACACTGCAATAGGGTTTTTCAGAGGGAATGTGAAGCCGCCTAATCACCAAGACGAACACAGAATTTAGGCAAATAACTTACATTTAACAACATGCTTTGGTTTAGAATAAAGAGATGTGATCCGCAAAGCGTCATAACTTCCCTCCCTGAAGCTTATCTTCTCCCTTCTTGCCCAACCCCACCCCTCTTTATCATAAAATTAAATTGAGTGGTAAAGATATCAGGTCACAAACAAACCATCATGTCTGACATCAGCTGTAATACTACAATAGAAATTTAATTATGAATTTGACATCCTATAAACTCCTCTTAATTGTTTTTGATTCACTAAAGATCTGAAAAAGATGCTTCCACCTCAGTTTTCAATTTGCTTGTATAAAAAAAAGTTATGTGGGAGCCTTTGTGTTTAAGTAAGTGTACTTTTTGTTCTATTTTACTTTTAATTTAAACCACAGACTGTAGACCAACTACCATCTTTTATCCCAGTACCATTATTATATTTTATGTAACAGTGATCGGTACAGAATAGATATTCAACAAAAATATGTAGACTGTTAAAAAAAAATTAATGAATGATCTAAGAATATGGGCTAACCTGTCAGCAGTTCAGATGACTGCACGGGATTAATCTTCGCAAAAAGAAAAATCAACTATATCCTATACAAGCTCATTTAAATACCTATAAAACTAGTTTTGTAAATAAAGGAAAGCAACCTTCAGAAAACAGAAATGCATAGTAAAATCATAAACCTACTCATAATTTTGTAATTAAATCTATTAATTTTATAACTAAAATATACTTGTATTATGAGGCACTATGCAAGACAGCCAATATAAAAGGAACACTGGACCAATTTGTGTATGTTTAAGTAAATCTGTAATTAGTTAAAAATAAAATTGAACTTAATGCACTAATTTAAAACAACATTAATTACTCTTGCTAATAACTACAGATTACTATATTACTATGGATAATGAAATGGAGCCCTGGTAGTTCGATGGTTAAGCACTCCACTGCTAACCAAAAGGTGGGCAGTTAGAACCCACCAGCTGCTCCATGGGAGAAAGATGTGGCAGACTGCCTCCATAAATATCATAGCCTTAGAAATTCTGTAGGATAATTCTACTCCATCCTATATGCTCACTATGAGTCAGAGTAAACCCAACAGCAATACGTTAAGGATAATGAAGGAAAAATACCAAAGATAACAGAAATAATATCAATAATCCAAAAATCTTCCTTTAGTCACCTAATTCAAGTAAAAATACACAAATATCATCTTAATCCAATTCATAAAGGTATTTCAAATTTTGCTTCCCTAGAAAATTAAATTCACTCACCATTTTAAGCACCTTAAGTTTGACATTAACTTACTAAAACATATACACATTTCTCTCCTTTTTAAGCAGAATGAATCACTCAAGGCAAAGTCTAAAGCAGGGATGCAAACAGATACTTGTATACCAAGGTTCACAACAGCTAAAAGGTGGAAATAACACAAGGGCCCAGAAAAAGATGAATGAAGAAACACAATGTAGTACATATGTACAATGGAATATTATTTACCCATAAAGAGAAATTAAGTTTTGGTATATGCTACAACATGGGTAAATCTTAAAAACATTATGATGAGTGAAATAAGTCAGACACAAAAGGACAAAAAATATGATTCCACTTACGTGAAATATCTAGAATAAGCAAATGCATAAACACCAAAGTTCATCAGAGGCAGATAAAAAGTTAGTCATTTCTTAGTTTCTGATGGCATAGTGCCTAAGGCATTTGACTGCTAGAAGACTGTTGGTTCAAACCCACCAACCACTCCTCAGAAGGAAGACTGAGCAATCTACTTCCATAGAGATACCGCCTCAAAAACCCAAAGAGGGGTCGCTATGAGTCGGAACCAACTCAATGGCAGTGAGTTTGGTTTTTATGGTTTGATTAAAGTTAATGAAAAAAATTGGAAACAGTAATAATGGTTGTATAACATCGTGAATGTAATTAATGTCACAGAATTGCACATATAATATGGTTGAAATGCAAATGTCTTGTTAAATGCATTTACCACAGTATTTTTAAAATGTCATTTGAGAGCTTCCTAATCATAACTATCTTAAGTTAGAGTCCCTTCTCTGAACATTACACGATAATATTAATGATGTTATTATGACTGTCAATACCTCAAAAAGAAAGGAGTAGGGCCGACATGCAAATTTATTTTGCTTTCCTTGGTAACATTATAATTTTACTTTCTTCTTCTCCTATTTCTTAAAAATTCAAGGTAAGGTAAGAAAGAACATTCACTAATGAGCTTACCTGAGCAGTAAGAATATTTTATAGTTGCCTACAAGCATAGAAAAATCAAGACTTGACCTTTTTGCAGAGCTCTGTTTTTCCAGTTACATTAACACAATTTTTTCACAGCTTTATAAAGACTGATTTTTATCAAGGACAAGATCATTTTTTCTTAAATGTCATGCTAAAATGATACAGTATGTGTCTAAGTGTCACCATAAAGCTCCTGGGTATCCTTACATTTCAATTAGAGATTAAATAGGACAGAAATTTATAAATGACACTTAAATTTGGGATAATTAAATGTAGAATTATACATAATGTATTTCAGATTCTATGATAAAAAGAAAATGGCTGCTCTAAGAAAAATGTCCTAAAAAATTAGGAAATGATCAACCACCAAGATAAACTCTGTCCTATGGCAAAACAACTTGAAATCCACATAAAATATGAAGAAAATGTGCTTCTAAATGCTGCTTATAGTTCATATCAAAATTTAATTAACCCCAGCAATTCTACTACCAAGTGCATACCCAAAAGACTTGAAAGCAGGGACTTAAACAGATACTTGTACACCAGTGTTCATTGCAGCACTATTCACAACAGCCAAAAGGTGGAAACAACCAGTGTCTACCAATGGCTGAATGGATAAACAAAATGTGGTCAATATACGTATATATACAGGAACTCTGGTAGTGTAATGCTTAAGGCATGTGACTGCTAACCAGAAGGCTGGCGGTTCGAACCCACAAGCCACTCCTCAGAAGGAAGACTGGGCAATCTACTTCCATAGAGATACCACCTCAGAAACCTAAGGAGGGGTCGCTATGAGTGAGAACTGACTCAAGGGCAATAAGTTTGGTTTTTAGTTATTTATATTTATGTATATGTATATAATTGTTGTTGTTATAGGGAGCTCTGGTAGCATAGTGGCTAAAGCACTTGACTGCTAACCAGAAGGCTGGCGGTTCAAACCCACCAGCCACTCCTCGGAAGGAAGGT